GTCCTTATCACTCCCATAGCCACAAACATCTAACATTTCTTTGTGCTGAGAAGATTCAAAATCCTGCTCTCTAGATATTTCGAAATATGCACCGCTGTTAACTCTAGTCACCCTACTTAGCTGTAGAATAGCAGAATGTGTTTGTCTTATGTCACTGTATCCTGGGACCTCATAAAATGGTTGTGATAACATGATGATATCCTATAGATCCCATTGGTCTTTATTATTTTTTATTTTCTAAAAGATTTATTTATTTGGGACCGGCGATGAGGCATAGCGGGTGGGGCTGCTCCTGCAGTGCAAGCATCCCATGTGGGTGCTGGTTCGAGTCTCAGCTGCTCCACTTCCAATCCAGCTCTCTGCTTTGGCCTGGGAAAGCAGCAGAAGATGGCCCAAGTCCTTGGGCCCCTGCACCTGCGTGGGAGACCTGAAGGAGGCTCCTGGCTCCTCGCTTCTGGTCAGCGCAGCTCCGGCCATGTGTGTCCAATTGGAGAGTGAACAAGTAGATGGAAGAACTCTCTCTCTCTCTCTGCCTCTGCTTCTTCCTCTGTGTGACTCTGACTTTCAAATAAATAAGTAAATCTTTTTTAAAAAAATGATTTATTTATTTGAAATAAAGGGTCTCAGTCTAAGGGTCTCAGGGTCCCAGTCCAAAGGTTAGAAAGCCCTGGAGGACTCCTGCCCATGGGTATCAGGAAACAGGCCCCACAATGTTTAGAGCAGCACTATGTATAATACCCCTCAATGTAGAAACAGCCCCAATGCCCCTCAAGAGTAGAACAAACACCTACATGCTGAGATACAGTTGGTGGGTACTATATGTGGATGATTCTCAACTTGCAAATTCACCTACTTGCTAAACTTTATTTGGAACCCCAGATTAATAAGGCATTCATTCTTTTTTTATATTTTTTATTAACAGCTTTATTGAATATTTTTATTCATTTTCCAAATATATGTTGAGCCTCCTATTTGTGTCAGTTTGCTCATCTTTTTTTTAAATTATTTTTTATTTTTTGACAGGCAGAGTGGACAGTGAGAGAGAGAGACAGAGAGAAAGGTCTTCCTTTGCTGTTGGTTCACCCTCCAATGGCCGCTGCGGCCGGCACACCGCGCTGATCCGATGGCAGGAGCCAGGCACTTCTCCTGGTCTCCCATGGGGTGCAGGGCCCAAGGACTTGGGCCATTCTCCACTGCACTCCCTAGCCACAGCAGAGAGCTGGCCTGGAAGAGGGGCAACCGGGACAGAATCTGGCGCCCCGACCTGGACTAGAACCCGGTGTGCCGGCACTGCAAGGCGGAGGATTAGCCTAGTGAGCCGCGGCATTCATTCTTTTAGGGTCATTCACAGACATGTGTAGAGTGGTGGAGAGATGGCAGGTACTTAAATCAAGGACTGTTGTGATTCTTTGTTGTAGGTTAATGAGATCTAAGTAACGTGTGTTATAGGTTAATGAGATCTTTAGTGCTCAGCGTAGCGCCAGACACATAGGAAATGTGGTGCAACCTGCATTTCATGGGTTCTGGTACCCTCTCCAATGGCTGCTTCTCCCTTTGCCCCTAGTAGTAGGTTTTCGCACTGATTTCCTCATAGTCTTTGTCTCCTTTAGAATGGTTATTGTCTTTTTTTTTAAAAGGATTTATTTGTTGGGGCTGGTGCTGTGGTGTAGGAGGTTAAGCCTCTGTTCGAAGAGCTGGCATCACATATGGGTGCTGATTTGAGTCCCGGCTTCTCCTCTTCTGATCCAGCTCCCTGCTTACAGCCTAGGAAAGCAGTAGAAGATGGCCTAAATGCTCGGGCCCCTGCACCCACATGGGAGATCTGGTAGAAGCTCCTGGCTCCTGGCTTCTGATCGGCACAGCTCTGGCCTTTGTGGCCATTTGTGGAGTGAACCAGTGATGGAAGACCTCTCTCTTGCCTCTCCCTCTCTGTCTGTAACTCTGCCTCTCAAATAAATAAATCTTTTTTCTACCTTTTTGCATTTAGTAGAATCTGTGATCATTTCCCATAGATAGCCCTGCAGGCAGTCTCTTAAAAACACCTAACACGCACACCAGAACCCTTTTTGTGAGCTTCTGGGTCTGCTTTTTTTTTTTTTTAAAGATGTATTCATTTATTTATTTATTTGAAATGCAGAGTTACAGAGAGAGAGAGAGAGGTCTTCCATATGCTGGTTTACTCCCCAAATGGCCACAACAGCCAGAGCTGGGCTAGGCCAAAGCCAGGAGCCAGGAGCTTCTTCCAGGTCTCCCATGCGGGTGCAGGGGCCCAAGGACTTGGGCCATCTTCTACTGCTTTCCTAGGCCATAGCAGAGAGCTGGATCAGAAGTGGAGCAGCCGGGTCTCAAACCATATTGGGATGCTGGCACTGCAGGCGATGGCTTTTACCTGCTACACCACAGCACTGGCCCCCCCTGGGTCTGCTCTTATCAGAGCAGTTCCTACGTAGGAATGCCAGGGCTGTGCTACCAGAGCTAGCACCTGAGGGGAGGCTGCAGGCCAGCCCCAGCTCTCATCCTGCCCGGGTTCTGGAACCTGAGTGCCACCATTAGCAGGCTGGAGAGGAGGAAAGATCCAAGGGAAATCCTTCAGTTTTGCTTACTAAAAACTGTCCCAGGCTTCTTCCAGGCAGCCACCCTGGCTGGCGTTTACACAGACTGGGGATGGCTTCCTAGACAAGATGAGCTGCTCCCAGTCACCGTAGGGCAGACTCGAGGGTAAAAGTCCTTCGGGGAATGAAGCAAATGCCTCCTCCTTCCCCAGAATGCTCCCAGTCCCCAGCCTGAGTGAGGCAGTTCTTGTCATCTAGGTGCTGTCCCAGAATGCAGGGGTTGGCCTTTGAAACCTGCTGCACCCAGCGCCGGAGACGAGGGTCATCTTGGCCATAAGGAAGTGTCTGAAATCAAAGCCCTGGACCGATACCTGTTTCCTTTGAAAGCTTCTTCCTGTTACTCAGCATCACCAGGGTTCACAGGCAGGTGCTAAGACTTCTTTTAGCTTAAACGTGGGGTCACAAGTAGTCAGATGCAAAGTGAGCAGCTCAGACTCCCACAGGTTCTAAAATTAATAAAGCCAGCAGGCATCCCGGGAGACCTGCCAAGAGTGAGCCCTGCTGGGCGTCTCGCGGGCCTGTCCTGTCCTGTCCGGGGTCCTCAGCCACCCGGGCCAGCCCGGTTCATGGCTGAGCTGACCCTCAGGCTCCTCACATTTAAGCCCTGCAGGATGGCCCCGAGGCAGTTAAAAACACCTGCGAAGCCTTTCTCAGGCTTCTGGAGGAAGGAGAGGAAGTGCGACGCCAGGTGGTGTTGTGTCGTCTGCACCACTGGCTGTGCCGGGCACGCCCTTCTGTCTGACGGCAGAGGGCTGTGCCGAGGCCCGGTGGCCAGGGGTCCTGACCCCACTCCTGGCACCCTGCACTCCACCGCACAGTACTCACCCATTGAAAATCCAGGGAGCTGACACCTGGAAGATGGCCGAGGGGTTGGGAGTGAACTTCTTCCTCACCGCAGGGACCTGGAAGCTAGCCCCGGGGTCGCCATGCCACCACGGCGTGTGGTTTGTGATGTCTCTGGCTGGCTTTGCCTTGGTGGGTCTTGAGGGCTTCACTCCAATCCAAGTCTGGAATTCCCGTCTGTAGGACGTGGTGGCCGCTGCAGCCGTGTCTCCGTGGCTGATGGGCAGCACGTAGGTCCCCTGAGCGCCGGGCATGGAGGACTTGCCCCTGCGTGGCATCTTTGGGTCCCCGCGGGCACGGTCCACACGTTGAAATCCCGCTGTTACTGAGTGAGCAGCACCTCCCGGCAGGGGTCCTGGGCGCCTGCGGGGCGTAGCTCCTCTGCGCAGACGCGGCTCACTCTTGAGTAGCCTTGCAGGGTGTGGGGCACGGCCACACTGGTTCCAGCCGCGCGCCAGGCAGCACAGGCGGCTGATGCGGGACCACACCTTGCCGTCTGGGGCATGCGTCGTTCAGCTCTCCCTGCCGCACCTCCCCCGACAATAAATAAATCTTAAAAAAAAAATTTTTATTTGTTTATTTGAAAGGCAGATTAACACAGAGAGGGAGAGTCAGATCTTCTATCTACTGGTTCACCCTCCCCAAGTGGCTGCAAACAGCCAGGCTGAAGCCAGGAGCCTGGGACTCCATCTGGGTCTCCTACGTGGGTGGCTCAGGCCGGAGTACTTGGAGCCATCTTCTGCTGCTTTTCCAAGTGCATTAGCTGAATAGAAGGGGAGCAGCCGGCACTCCAACTGCTGTTCATATGGTATGAGATCTTTGCAGGCAGTGGCTTAACCTGCTATGCCACAGTGCACTGACCCATTAAGGTCTTGATTTGCAGCAAATCTGGCATGTGAAAATTGATTTTTAACACATATCTTCAGATACAGTGATGATAAACATCTTTTTTTAAATAAAAATGTTTATTTATTTAAAAGAGTTAGAGAGAGAGAGGGAGAGATCTTCCATAAGCAGGTTCTCTCCCCAGGTGGCCATAGTGGCCAGTGCTGGGCCAGGCCAAGCCAGGGGCCAGGAGTTTCATCTGAAGTTCTCCCTCGTGAGTGGCATGGGCCTAAGCACCTGGGCCATCGCCATGGCTTTTCCCAGGCCACTGCAAGGAGCTGGATCAGAAACTGAGCAACTGGGACACCAACCGGTGCCCATATGGGATGCTGGTGTTGCAGGCAGCGGCTTTAACCACTATGCCACAATGCCGGCCCCATGAATATCTCCTGTGGGATGTGATTGAGCATAGGACGTCCTGCATTTATAAATTAACTCGGACTGGAAGTAAGTCGGGGAAAGCGGTATGCTAGAGGTGGGCAAACTCGGGCCTGCTAAGCCACCGACCTGGCCTGGATGGGCGGCCCAAGACAGAGCACGGGGAGCTGACCAATGAGAAAGACACTGCACACCCTGGCGCGCACTGCAATCTCGCGTTGTTTGGGGAGGTCCTTCCACCCCCCTGACCCCCCGTGGTAACGCATGCGCTGAGACCTCGCTGTTCTGGGCGCATGCCCCCAGCAGGCCCTTTTCCGGCAGCGATTGTGAGCAAGTTGGTCGCGTCCGCTCCTCCGGGTCTGTCCAGACTTGCAACATGAGCTGCTACAGTAAGGCGTCTGGTTTTAGCGACGGTAATGGCTCCAGTAGTGAGGAGCAGGCCAGCCCTGGTAGCCCCGGAGCCCTGCAGGCTACTGGAATAGGCTTGGACCAGGGTGAGGGCGAGGGCGGAGGTGCGAGCTGGGAGGAGGGCGGGCCCTCAAGCCCGCAGGTTCTCAACCCGCAGCTGGAGTTCAAGTCTGGGTGCCAGTCTGAGTCCAAACTGGGAATGACACAGGCGGAAGCCGCAGCTCTCTGGGGCTGCAAGACTAAGCCACGGAAGCCCACCCCCGTGGGAGAGTGCTCTGCAAGTTCCGCATTCCAGTTTGCTGCGGCGTATGCAGCTGTTGTGCAAATGCTGACCGACCCCAGTGCCGGGGCCTTGCACAGATTCCTGAGTACAGGAAGTGGCGCCGCCGAAGAAGCGGCCGCCGTTTGTGCGCATGTCGAGGTAGACCCCAGCAGCCGAGGCATGCTGGGCCGGAGCAGTCTGGGATCACTGCAGGCTTGTGCCACCGCCTCTCGTGCTCTTGGGGAATTCCGGGTCCGGGGCCGCAGCAAGAGAAGAAGCGCCAGACGTCGCTTGAACATTGGCACCGATAGCCATTGCTGCTTCGGAGAAGGCATGGTGGGGCTGCCTCCTGACCCTGAGCCCTGCGATGAGCTCTGGAATGTGCAGCCCATGAGGGTGAGCATTCACTAGACACGAGGAGGCCAAGTCCAGGGCAGCAGCTCTGAGCAGCCAGCAGAGAGCCCCAGACACGGGACTTCCCCTTGGCAGGGAGAATTTCCCTCACCTTTCAGTCCCTCTCTCGACTCACTTGCACCATAGAGAGGCAGGCACTAGGAGAGTTGGGGCCCTCTTCCTGCAAAGTGTCGTGTCCAGGAAGGGGGGATAGAGCCCAGCCACCCAGGAGCTGCTGCTGGTGGTGCAGAGGACCTGCCCCAGGCCACTCGTAGGAGGAAGGCAGCCCAGGAGAAGGAATTCATAGTGATTGCCCGGGAAGTTGGCTTTGGGATAGCCTTAGCTCCATGGGGGCACAGCGAGCCAGCAGCTTGCCTTGTCACTTTCCCTCCAGTCTCTGGTATTTCACAGCTTGAGAAGCCCAGCACATCTTCCCTGCTCCTGTGGGGACTCAAACAGTGGAGGCAGGGAGGAAATCTGGGACAGGAGGAAGAGAGAGTCTCAGTCTACGGTCAGAGGAGATGGTCTTCCCAATAGCGATGCAGTTGCAAGGGTCTCCCCCCCATCTTCCTCTTATTCCTGCGTTGCCTTCTTTCTCCCCCTTCCCTAGCATACGCCTCTCTAGGCCTGTTCCCTCTGTCCCTTCCTCACAGTCATTGGGAGCCCTCAGGCACTAGGATGCCACATTGAGATCCTCAGGTTGGGGGCAAACGTTTAGAGGGCACCTGGTATGTGCCAGGCACTTTTTAATTATTTTTTTTGAAAGATCTATTTATTGTTTGAGAGGCAGAGAAAGAGAGAGAGAGGTCTTCCATCGGCTGATTCACCCCCCAGAGTGAATGCAGTGGCCGGAGCTGGGCCGATTTGAAGCCAGGAGCCAGAAGGAGCTTCTTCAGGGTCTCCTTCATGGGTGCAGGGGCACAAGGACTTGGACCATCTTCCACTGCTTTTCCATGCACACCAGCAGGGAGCTGGATCAGAAGATGAACAGCTGGGACTTGAACCAGCACCCATATGGGATACCTGTACTGTAGGCAGCGGGTTTACTCCCTGTGCCACAGCGCCAGCCCCAAGGCACTGTTCTTGACACGCACATTTCCTGCCTTCCCTCCGGAGAGGGGCTGGAATGGACAGCAGGGCTGGCAGCTGATTTAGAATAGGTCTGGTGATCAGCATGCAGATTGGGCTGCCAAGCTTCTGTGTTTACTTTTCCCAGCCTCCTGATTCCTCCCTCCTATCTGCTCCCCAAGCCTGTCTGGTAGGGGCCCTGCAATTCTCAGGAACCCCACTCTTCTCCCTGGTTTAGTTCTTCCTCCTGGCCTGAGGGAGAAAGAGCTGATGTGATGAGCCTCCAGTTCCCCTCCCCAGTCGTGACCTCACCTTACCCTGGCCCCTACACACACAGTCCACGCTGAGACTCCCACCCTGGCCCAGCTCTGAAATTTGTGTTTTAGGTTCCAGCACAGAGATCAGGGATGCCTTGCTGTTGCATGCATCATGGAGAATTCAAAAGTCTATACTTCAATACCGAAAACTCACAAGTTCCAGAAAATTCACAGCCTTTGAGTCTGAGCCAGGGAGGTGTCACACCTAGAGGCGCTGCACACTGGGGTGAGTCCAGTGGGTTTGATTTGAGTGGAGGGGAGAGGGGTCAAGGAGGGAAACCTCTGGATATTGTCACTTTTGGGGACTCAGCTTCGCTCCCAGGATTCCCTGCCTGCCCAGGCAGCTTGCTCACAGGAAATGGGGTGTCAGCAGGTCTGGCCTTAGGTGACATCATCCTGTGAGTGTTGGCTCATGAGGTGGCGGTTGTTTGTGGCAGTGCCCCAAGCTCCAAAAACAAAGGCAGGTGATCAGTGGAACTGAGCTTTTGCTGTTAAGTCCTGCACAGCCAGGTGGCTCCTCCCTGCAGCTCTCTTATCGTGCGACACAGATTCCAGTCCCTGGCGCCACAGTCAGTGAGGGGTCAGGAAGGCAGGCTCAGAGAGAGGGTTGGAGCCCCTGGGCAGAACAGGGGTAACTTAGGGCCAGCAGAGGATGAGACCTCCTCTTGTGGGACCCCAGCAGGCTCTTTCCACCTCATTCCCAGGCTGGGCAGCTGGATTTTGTGTTCTTTTTGTGTTTCAGGTGCCCCGGAACCACCTGTTCATCCTCAGACACCAGATATGAAGAAATTGCCACCTGGAATGCAAAGGTGTCTTCAGGTAATACCGCCTCTGGCTCGCAGTTACATGGGCCCAAAGTAGCTGGTGGGATCCATGTGCAGGTCAGACTGACCCCATGTCCCCTGCTCATCATTTTACACCTGATGCAGACAGGATACCTCCTTTGCAATTAGCATGCCAAGCCAATGTGGCCACTGGGCTGTGGGAGGGTCCAGGTGTAAGGGCCAGGGATGTGGATGGGGCGGGGGGAAGTCCATAATACACTCATCGTTTCTCTCTGTTGGGCTGCTATATTTTGCTGCAGAAGGAAGTAGACGACCTTAGAGAGCAACCAGGTATGGTACATGCTGGGCTGGGCTGGGCTGGGACTGGGGCTGAGGCAGAAGAAGGAATCTTCATGCTGGTGGCAGGGCGTGGGGTGAGGGTGGGTTGCAGGTGTGGGCGGCATCAGTGGGACCCTCATTCCTGTGAGGAGGAGAACCAACAAAACCTGGCCCGGGAGCATTGTGTGCATTCACAGTTGGGGTGTGCACAAGGGGAAATGCGTCGTCTAAGCTGCATGTGCGCTTTGCTAAAGAGTCCCAGAGATCTCCTTCATTTAGAGCTACCTGCATGTGTTTTCGCTGGAAGTGCTGCTTGCTGTGGCTTGTGTGGTTTCTCTTGTCCGATTTATTTGCCTTTTGACATGTTCTGAATGGTTCTCATTGACCCAACGTTTGAGAATGACTGGTCCACTTTGTTCCTGTTTAGAAGACATTTCCACATGTAACTCAGGTGATGGGTGGGTGGTGTGTCCCAGGGCTGTTTGGAGGGGGCTGCAGGGGTTGCAGGGGGCAGGGCTAGGTGATCCCTTCCCCCCTCCCTGGGGGACACAGGTCCAGATGTCTATAGGCCTATTTCTGGAGTGCCTTGTTGTGTCTTTGTTTCAGCGGAGTTGGAATCCCTCACTGAGAAGTTCCAGAGGCTGTGAAGTGAGTGTTACACACAGCATGCCCCTTGCCACAATCCTGGCAGTTCAGGAGGGATGCAGGCTGGCCCTGGCTTGAACGTGACCTTGCTCTGACTCTGCCCTCTTTCACAGGTTGAACTCAGCATCTTCTATTAGACAAGTAGCTACTACCTGTGGAGCCCAGGAGCTATGGCCCAGGCGTTTCCCTCCAGTTCCTCTTCAGCCAGAGCCTCCTGTCTGCCCAAACACTTGTCTCCTTCCCTACCCCAGTTCACAGCAGTTTCAAGTTAGAGTAGCTTTCATGTTCCGTGCTCTGCTGTCTCTGGGCGAGGGCGGTTGAAGAACTGCTCCGTGTCAGAGCATGTTAGGAACAGTTCCTCTGTTTAGGTTGTGCTACAATAAACACATGTTTGAATGGCAGTTTCCAGCAACTTTGTGTAGTGTTCTAGTGTTGACTTCATCTTCCCGTTTGCCCAGCAAGACCCTACTTTTTGACTTCTGATCTCCCTCCGTTGGCACCGTGCACAGGGACAACTCACCCAGAAGCTGCATGTCATCCCCAGTTCCTCCGCTGCCCGACCTTTAGACATCAGTGACCACATGCTGACCATTCTCCTTCTGTAGTTTCAGTGGGAGGGTGGAGGCCGGAGTCACATCCTGGTGTGTGGTGGAGGGAGTGGGAGGTGCAGTACGTAGGAGAAAAGAGCAGGTTCATCTTGGTGCAAGTGGAGGATATGGGTCTTCTGGTGCCTGTGGGTCATCCTGGGGACCTGCCCTCTGGCAGCTGGAGTGGATGGGCTCATGATCTAAGTGCCCTCATCATTGACATGCTAGCCAGCCAGCTGCTTCTATGCCGATGGTCCTCATGCCTCTTATTTGGAAATGGCCAGTTTGTTTCCAAAGAAAGTGAATGATGGGTCTGAATGTTCTGGATGGCTCCTTGAAATGTCACTTGACCAAGAAATGGGAACCACCAAGGAGAGCCTGTTCCTAACAGGCCACTGGATGTCATGCTGGGTTTGCCCATTACTCATCCAAAGAGCAAGGGGAAAGGAAACAACAGGAAAAACTCACCTCAACATACAAGCCCTTGTAAAGGTGTTACTTACAGCAGAAGCAGAAAAAGATTGATTTCATCTTGGGGTCAGGGCCATCCCAGAGAGAGAGGCCCTGGACTGCTTTCCTCCTTTTCTGTTTTCCTTTTTCCAGCCGAGACAGATTACAAGGTCCTGGGTTCAGGGCCCTGAAAGCCTAGTATACAAAGAAAAAACAAAAGGATAGAACACAAAACTGCTGTTTTACGGGGCTGCAGGGCCAAAAGGAAACAAGGAAAGAACATGAGGTACAGAGCAAATGCCAGTTCTAGCAATCACAATGCTCACCCTGCCCTAGATGTTTTATTGATGGTGAACAGTCTCTGGATAAGGGTGCAGGACCAAGAGGTAGTTAAGTAAGCTCTCTATCCATAGACAGTACTGTTTTGACCTTTAAGTTTGAGGGTTTACTGATTTTAGCAGCTGTCATTTCCTTGACAAAGAAATTGATGGATTTTTGGTGGATTTTCAGTTTGATGTAATCTTATCACGATACAAACATTTTTATGAAACTAGAGCTCAAGAGAGTTAATTCACACGTCCCTGCATGTAAATTAGGTCCTTATTTTATCTTCAGACTTTGCAAAAATATATAGTTACATTTACTTTTTAAATATTTTTAATTTTTAGATTTTAACATATTCAATGTGCTTTGGAGGTACAATTCTAAGAGCATAATGATATTCCCTTCTTCCCTCCCTCCCTCCCTCCATCCCTCCCTCCCCCTCTCTCCCTCCCATCCTCCTTCCTTCTCCCTTTCTTTTTTAAGTTTTTGAGACAACAATTTAAATTTACATTCCAGTAAAAAGGCTTAATACTTAAATTTGCTAATGTTCTGTTTCTGATTTTTGCTTTGTCTATGTACTTTACCTCTGATTTTCCTCTCTCAAACTGTCTTTGTCTGGATTTGGTATGCAGATGGTTCAAACCTCAGAGAATGAGTTGATGACAGTCCTTTTAAATTTTCTGCAAGAATCACTTTTTTCTTGAAAAGAAATATACATGGTCAACTTTAGTTATCTGTTTATAAAAATACTTACACCAATCAGGCCTGTAACCTATGAAAAGTCATTCCTTATTTACAATGTGAAATACATGGGGCTGGCATTTTGGCATAGTGGGTAAAGCCACTGTGATGCTGGCATCCCATATGGGCACCAGTTCATGTCCTGGCTGTTCAGTTTGCAATCCAGTTCTCTGCTAATGGCCCAGGAAATGCAGCAGAAGATGGCCCAAGTGTTTGGGCCCCTACCACCCATGTGGAAGACCTGGCTTTGGCCTGGCTCAGTCCTGGCTGATGTGGCCATTTGAGGAAGGAACCAGCAGACGAAAGATCTCTCTCTTACTTTATATCTCTCTCCCTTTTTCTCTATAGCTCTGACATTCGAATAAATTTTAGAAATGCAAAGTGAAATATATGCAAATACAAAAGCAGACTGAATTATTAAACAAGAAAACATGTTCAATGTGAACATACACATGAGAAACAACCAGATAAATCCAACTTAAGGGGATTCCTGCAAAACAGCTGCATAGGATCTTCAAAAATTTCATGTCATTCAGCAGAAAAAAAGGGAAACAGTGCTAGTCCAAGATCTTGGCATTTAAATGGAATGCATGATCTCTGATTGGAAAGAGGATTTTTTGAAAGCATCTCTGACAGCATCTTGGAACAATTAGAAAATGCAGGAGCCAGTGCTGTGGCACAGTAGGTTAGCCTATGCCTGTTGCACTGGCATCCCATATGAGCACCAGTTCTAGTCCTGGCTGCTCCTCTTCTGATCCAGCTCTCTGCTATGGACTGGGAAAGCAGTAGAAGATGGCCCAGGTGCTTGGGCCCCTGCACCCGCGTGGGAGACCCGGAAGAAGCTCCTGGCTCCTGGCTTCGATTTGGTGCAGCTCCAGCCATTGAGGCCATTTGGGGAGTGAACCAGTGGATGGAAGACCCCTCTCTCTGTTTCTCCCTCTCTCTCTAACTCTACCTCTCAATAATAAAATCTTTAAAAAAAGAAAATTCTTCCCAGGATCAAGTAATAGACAACTGTGTTGTACCAATCTTTCATGTTATTGTGCTTTTAAAGACTTCTTTATTTATTTATAAGGCAAAGTGACAGGGACAGATACAGAGAGATTGTCTATTTGCTGGGTCACTCCCTCAACTGCCTCCAATCTCCAGGGCTGCACCAGGAGGAATTGTGGTGCAAGGAGCCAGGTGCATGATGGTGGTGAGTGCCCCCCATGATAATTTTATTATAATGACATTATAAGAACCTAAGTGACGTTGGGGGACATATCCTGCAGCCATGTTGGATATTTCCAGCCAGCTAGTGCTGTTTCCAAGTTCACCACATTGTGGAACTTGGAAACAAGTTTCATGCTACATGGAAGGGGAGTTGGCTTCCTTGTCTGGATTTGATATGCAGATGATTCAAACATCAGAGAATGAGGTGATGAGAGTCCCTTCTTTTTAATTTTCTGCAGGGATTACTTTTTTTAAAAAAGAAAAATACACAGTAAACTTAAGTATTTATAAAAATACAAGAATCAGGCCTGTGACCTGTAAAAAGGAATTATTTGCAAAGAGAAATATATGAAAATACAGAAACAGACCCAGTTATCAAGTAGAAAACTTTTAGTAGTTCTCATTAAATGCAGTTAGTTTTCCTGATGATGAATCTATTATCAGTGTCACGTATAGCACAGGAAGAGCTGTCTAGAGGTGATCAACCTCACTATCTCTCTCCACATATATTAGGAGAACTGAACGCTGAAAAAGAAGAGCTGAGCCTGTCAAATTGTTTTCCATTTGCTTTATAAACTCTGGCACTGGAAGGAAATAAGAGGATGATGTAGTCAGCAGAGTGCTTGTATCATCATGTCCAAAGTTAAAATCTTGCCATGATATAATAATGTTGTGGAACCTTCCCAGGAATTTTAGGCAATTGACCTTGTTGCACATCCCAAATCTAGAAAGAAACAAGAGGTCATTGAAACGACTGGGCATGATGCATTTGTGATGTTGAGTCAATAGCACCATTATAAGCCAGAAGTGAATCAAAGCCATAGATATAGTTACAAAACCCCTCCAGGTACATGTGCTGGAAGCTTGGTTCTCAGGGACCAGTGTGGAGATAGATGCTGCAGTCTTTAAGAAGCAGGCTAGCATTGTGGTGTAGTGCATAAAGCTGCCACCTGTGACTCTGGTATCCCATATAGGCACAGGTTCATGTTCTGGCTGCTGCACTTCAGATCCAGCTCCTGGCTAATGGCCTTGGGAAAGCAACAGAAAATAGCCCCAGTGTTTTGGGTCCCTACCACCCATGTGGGAGACCCAAATGAAGCTCTTGACTTTGGCCTGGCCTACTTCTGACTATTGCGGCCATCTGGTGAGTGAACCAGCAGATGGAAGATTTCTCTCTCTCTGTTTCTCCCCCCCCCTCTGTAAATCTTACTTTTAAAATAAATAAATAAATCTTTAGAAATAATGAATGAATCCTGGACTTGACGAGTGGGTTGAGTTTCACAGGAGCGGATTAGCTCCTGTTAGAGTCAGTTGTTTCTTTTTTTAATTGACGCCCTTTTATTTATTTTTAACTCTTTTTTAATGTAAAGAAAATAGATTTCATGTAGTTCATGTAATTATAAGAATATAATGAAGCTTCCCTGTCTCCCCTTCCTTCCTTTCTTTCTTTTTTAAATTTGGTGATAAGATACTGTTAATTGTCTTCATACTCAAAGGCTTAATACCCCACTGAATAAAAGTGTTCAACAAGTGAAAAAGTAAAAAAGGCCACTGTTCATCAGGAATATAGACAAGGGCTATAAGCCATAATCAAATCCCAAGATGTCAATTTCACTAATATGCATTAAATTGTTTTATACTCTGTATTAGCTACCACAAATCATAGAAAACATGTGATATTTATCTTTTTGGGTCTGATTTAATTAAATAAGCATAATGATCTCCAGTTGCATCCATTTTGTTGCAAAGGTCAGGATTTCATTCTCTTTTTTTCTTTATCCAGTCATCAGTTGGTAGACATCAAGGTTGATTCCATATATTAACCATTGTGAATTGAACTGTTATAAACATGAGGGTACAGGTAGCTCTTTCATAGGCTGATTTAATTTCCTTTGGGTAAATTCCCAGGAGTGGGACAGCTGGGTCATATAGTAGGTATATTTTCAGATTTCTGAGGAACCTCCATAATGTCATTCCCACCAACAGGAGATTAGGGTACATTTTCTCCCACATTCCTGCCAACATTTTTTTTTTTTTGATAATAGCCATTCTAACTAGGGTAAGGTGATATCTACTGTGGTCCATTTGTATTTCA